GTTGGTAACTTAATTTAACGATATTTATTGATACTCGAAATAATTAATGAGAAGAAATATGAAGGGGGTAAAATGTTCTCTACAAAAGCAACTTTTGTCTGCTCTTAAATTGTTCCATGTTGATAACTTAATTTAATGATATTTAGCATGCATCACAATTTGGCCAGAAATATTAAAAACTATAGTTTTTTTATTTTATTTTAAAATAAATTGATCTTTTTTCTATTTTTTAGTTAAAATGTATTAAAGTTAAAAGGATAAAAATGTTCAAAAAGATAAAATAACATATATAAAATACCATTCTGACCAAATTTTCTGACCAAAAGAATTTTTCCATGTAATATATTCACATGTCTCAGCCTCTATCATTTATATGATCAACATAAGTCACAGACTCCAATCTTTTATCAAGTACTAATATTTCATTAGCAGCAACAACAAGGGAGACATTTATCTTAGTAATTCAGGATTATCACGAGAGAGTTCAGATTTAATTTTAAAAATAAAAAAAGATTAATTAAATGGAGGGTGTTTTTCCGTGTTATAGGATCTTACATGATATGAATTTCGATTAATTTGATTAGTGAATTCTGAATATCAAATAGTAAGCTCAGCAACTCGGGGTTATTTGATTTAAAGACAAATTATATAAAAATTATAATACATGAATATTTAGTAATTACATATAAAAGATATCGTAAAAAAATTTATTTATCTTCTAAGAGTAGTGGAGTAATAAAGAATAATGGAGGAACCAAGTTTAATGTTTGCCATTATTACATCTTATAATGAAAAAATTTGAAACAAAAAGAAACGAGTGCTATTTTTCACTTGTTGTCTTAAAAATATGCATTATATAGTTTTTAGATAATATAAAATAAAATATATAAGTAAAAGAAAATTACTGATATTGATAATGTCATGATTTTCTGTGTATAAAAATATTAATATTATTTATATCATAATTTATTAGAATCTATAAATAATATATTTTATAAGAATAATATTAAATAGAATATTATACTATATATAAAAAATAACATGCATTTTTTTTATAAGATGTCTCTTTCTTGTTACTTTATTTATGCTTTTCACTTAAATTACCCAAAATGGCCTTATCTACATAAAAGGCATAAAACGCATTTACATGCGATTTACAGTCTCACATGCTTTTTTTTTTTCTTTTTCATTTTACTTTTTGAGTTTTCGGAGAGGTAAAGGTGTGTCGACATAATATACATTATTAAAACATTATGATTTTTTCATTAAAATTGTTTAGTAGTTAGTAGCTGTTCGGATAGATATTTTGATTGAAATAGTGAAAGAACGAAAAAATAGTAATATTTTCGTACGAAAGAATTTAAAAATGTCTCAAAATTTTAGTGAAAATTTGTTTTAGGACCACAATTAGTCATAATCGGTTAACATAATAAAAATGTAAAATAAATAAAATATTGGTACGTGATTGGTCAACGTATATAAAATTAAGCCAAATTAACGTACTTGTGAAAAATGTTTAGCAGTAATAAATACTAAAGGTTGAAGTTTATACCTCAATTATAATATTTAGTTACTTTAAGATAATATTATTTTCATTATACAAAGACAATATTAGTTTTGTTTATCTGCTAAAAAACTAGTAATATATAATGTTCAATCCTCAGCCACTATAAAAATTTTCAAACTTTTTAAGGAAAATTGTCCAATTGGTGTTTTGATAGTCAGTGAAAAAAAATAAAAATAGCGTTTTCACATAGGTAAATCAAAAAACTTTTTAATATTTCAGTGAAAACTTATTTTTCATTATGTATTTTTTGAGTAAGTTAATTCGATATTATATAGTAACAAAATAATATTTTATAATATAATTTTTTTATTAATTTGCGGATAGAAAAAAATCTTGGTTCCTAATAGTCAAACAAAACCTACTCACTTAATTACACTATTTTTCAATAAGTTTCATCATTCATGTGATGCACGACTCACAAGTTCTTTTCAATTAGGTTAGTGAATGAGATATGCTTAATTTTATTGGTCTATACTCTATAATATATTATTTGTTTATTGAAAGAATTTGAGCATATAATATAAAATTATTTATTTACTATTAAACGGGAATGGTTCTATTGCAACCATGAAGGAGACATCAGGGAGTTTTTAGAGATTGTAAAAGTCATCGAACAAGCAAAGATGATGTTAAAATAATTTTCACCTACTTCAATTATTTAATTTATTATTTTCTCTGTCTTATATTAACTGATTATCTTTCTAAAATATTTGTTCCAAATTACTTGATCACTTACTATAGTTCAAGATAGATTAATTTTTTTTTTTCATTTTACCCCTATAATTATTATCATCATCATACTTAATGTTCCCATAATTTCTCTTTGGAAGCTTAAATAAAATTAAAGTTCCTAGATTTATCTTTTCAAAGAGTTCATTAAATACTTAATTACTCCTTTATACTTTTGTTCTCACCCACTTTGGAGTACAGAGTACTATACCTTTTGTATGCACTATCTCATAATAAATTATCTTGTTATCCAACAATATGAATAAAGGGTAAATTAGTCAAATTGATTATTTTATTTATGATTTTTTAAGTATCGTGTAAAACGAAAAGTGATAAGTTATTATGAGACAGAGGGAGTAATATATATGACCTTTTTATCATCCCCCCCTCGTTGAATCAAAATATCTTTGACTTTATGATGTATTGTGTTAAATAAATACAATGTTTGGATAAATTATCAATCTTTATTGTTACATAATGTCACAACTCACACATCAATAATTTGAACAAGAAAAATAGGGTATTGGATAGAGACATTCTGAAAAGGTGAGATAAAAGATAAATATAATTATTAAATTATAAGTAAAGACAAAATGAAAAGAAAACACTAAGGTAGCGTTACGATCACATCAACTTGATCGTTACACAAAATAAAACTTTTGTCTTTACCTAACGATGATTTAAATGAGACGATACAATAAAATTTAAGTAATAATAAAAAACAAACATTGTATTTAAACTAACAATGCAATGAATAAAAATCATCCAAACAAGGTGTTCGTTTGTTTTGAAAATGAGTTATGCCGAAATTAATTATATTGAGATTGATTATGCTAAAATTAGTTCCCCCCCCCCCCCCCCCCCCCCACACACACACACAAAAAAAAAATAACTTTCAATACTAATTAATCCCTTTGTCCACTTTTAATTGTTATATTGCGTTTTTCGAAAGTTAATTTGACTAATTTTCAAAGTTAAATTATATTAAATTAATTTGATATTTTAAACAAAAAATTTAGATATTCAAAAATTGTACAAAAAGTGCTATTCCCTCCATCCCATTTTATGTGGCACTTTTCAGATTTCGAGATTCAAACAAGTCTATCTTTGACCGTAAATTATTCATAGATCTTTTAAGCATTTTGAATTATCAATTATTGTGACTTATAGTACTTTTTACGTAGTTTACAAATATATAAATTTTATTTCAAAAAAATCGAAGATTCGATGCGCAAATTTCTTGTCAAACTTAAACTGTTTGACTCTCGAAAAACGAAAAGTGCCACATAAATTGGGACAGAGGGAGTATAAATTTCAATTTTTTACATATCAAAAAAGGAAACTATGACAATTAAAAGTGGATGATGGTAATAATAATCCAAATATAATTTGTCCAAAACTATTAACAAAAAAAAAAGAGAAATACTAAATTTTTATATCAAAACTTTTTATGGTTGTGTTGCATAATCATGTTCTACGTGTTGGGTTTTAAAGGTGTGAACAGGAAATGAAGAGTTGTGACTCTCCTGAAGGGTTGTGACTTTTATGAAAGGTTGTGTCCTTTCTAAAGGGTTGTGACCATTTGAAAGATTGTGCCTTTTCCAAAGTGTTGTGACCTTTCTGAAAGGTTGTCTTCTTTTCAAAGGGTTGTGACCTTTACCCTTTGTTGGCTATAAATAGAGAGGTTTTCTCTCATTTTTCTGCATCAAATTCTTCCCTTCTTTTGCATACATTTCTTACAAAACAAAATCGATCGATCGTGTCTGTGTGTGTGATTCGTTGCTGTCATTTTGAGTTCGTTGAAATTATCGAAGTTTGAGGTACCGCTACTTCTTTAATGGTTAATCCGTTTTATCTTGGGAGAAATTAATCTGCAACCTCAGGTACTTGAGGGGATTAAATTTCTTAAGAACACACAGTGGGTTCTGTGGACTCGGATAGTTCTTTGTGTTTTTCTTTTCATCTTTTATTATTTCTGGTTTGCTAATCTGAATACAGGAGATAACACTACGTACTATAATATCCCTCCAATTTTTGTTTACTAGTGGTGCTAGCTGTAAACAGAGTGTCCCTTTTCATTAGCAACTTCATATCCGATATTTTTGTTGCACTTTATTTTAGGGTCTTTCGTTATAATTTTTTTATTTTTAGAAAATAGTGGTAAGGTAGACGTATATTCTATCTTTTCAAATTTTACTTGTAAAATTTCATTGAGTATATTATTATTATTGTTTTTTAAAAGCGAAGCAAAATAAAAATAAAAATTTGCACATATCTTTCTAAGAATAAAAAATTGTGAATTACACTAAATATTCATATACTATGATTTAATCATGAAAAAACTTTCAGTATGTTAAAATCAAATATTTACATCTTCTATATTACAATTCCCAAAAAAGTTATTACTAATAATTGATATATCTCATTCAATAATTTTTGTGAGTTTCTAAAGATAAATAATAATCTCAACAATACTAAATTTTTTAAATCAAGACATGAATATTTTCGTTTTAAAATTTTGTAAATAGATCTAATTTAGAGTTTTGATTTGTCGTTTAGTATAATTACAAATAAATCTTATTGGGAATGCTCTTTATACAAAAGATATAAATGTTTGATTTTAAAATATAAAAAATAAATCTAAAATTGAATTATATTGTAGAAGTATTTAATGTAATTGACCCAAATAAATATATGGAAAATATATATATTTTTCTTTAATAAAAGGGCGAACGGAAATGAGTCGTTAAGAAAAAAATTCTTGTTAATCACCTCCGTACTCTGCCGTTCTCCGCCATCACTCCACCACTCTACCTCACCGGCGGCCACCGCATCACCACCGTGATAAACCATGAATTGACACAATTGCCCTCTTCCTTCTCAAAGCTAAAAGTTCCATAATCGCATGGGCGCATCATTATCCAACCTGACGGAAAACGAGTCAGGCAACGGCAGACCGGGACTCGGTGATATACCGGAAAATTGCGTGGCGTGTGTGTTTATGTACCTAAATCCACCTGAAATTTGTAATCTAGCTCGGCTTAATCGCGCTTTTCGAGGTGCCGCTTCTTCTGATGCTGTTTGGGAATCTAAACTTCCGTCTAACTACCACCACTTGCTCGACCTTTTGCCTCCGCAAAATTACGATGGTCTCTCTAAGAAAGATATATTTGCTTTCCTCGCTCGTTCCGTGCCGTTTGATGATGGCAATAAGGCATGTAGATTTTTGTGAAGTTCGTTAATTCTACATTATTTTTTAGTTTGTGCTGACATTTTTCTATACATTTTGAAGGTTAAAGGATTTTCAGTTTTGCTGGTAAATAAATACTTGTTTAATGGGGGTTTTGGGTCAAAATTGATGTTGGGTTTTTCCTGCAGCTGTCATAGATTGAGACTGTTTTTGATGTTAGAAATGATGCTATCTATGTAGTATTCAAGTTTAGCTTTCAAGTTGAGCTGGAGTGAGAATCTCTGTTCAGTGGTTGAACAGTGGTTAATGTTCAAGTTTTAGAATTGTGAAACAGTTTTATCGTTGATGCGTTATTTACCCATATCTTTATTCTTTTGTTAGTTCCTTCTTTCCCATGTTTTTTATGAGCAAATGGATGAGTGGTGTTGGCTAACTATAATTGTGTTTGTTTTGCTAAATTGATAAAGATGGAGTCTAGGCCAGCTTGCTATGATTATAGGTTTTGGGGGATGGTACTTTTTTCAATTGCTTGTATTGGGAGGGACTGTGAAATTTGAGGTTCCCACGGCTTAATTCTCTGTGTAGTGCTTTTCACGTCACACTTGCTCTTGAGGTCTGGGAAGGGAAGTTTGAGGAATAAGATGATCTTTTTTATGAAGTTGTGCTATGTTTTATGAGTTGAACTTGTAGTAACAATATGTTGGAGTGATGTTTGATCTCACTAAACTGTATGTTTTTGACGGGGGGACAAAATGCAGGAGGTATGGTTGGACAGAATAAGTGGAAAGATTTGTATGTCAATCTCCTCGAAAGCAATGTTGATAACTAATGTGGAAGACAGGAGACACTGGAACTGGTTTCCTACAGAAGAATCAAGGTTAGATTAATTGGTTGAAACTATGTGCAACAATGTCATTATTAAGCTTATTGTTGCAGTGATAAAAATAATTTTGGAGTTTTAAATTGGCTGGATATCCTCTTGTGAGATGATATTAATAACTAGTTTTTTTCCCCAGTGAGCATTGGGATTTCCCCATGCATCGCAGGATAATTTTTATGAGCAAGACATGTGAAAATGAGGTTTTTTTTTTTATGTTCTTTATTTGACTTTTAAAAATATTGTCCACTCGGCAAACTGTTCAGCCCACCACACGTTGCCAAACCCTGAAGAGTATGATGTGCCAGGCCTTCCTTCTCTTGATCCCCACCGACCTCCCATAGAGGCAAGGTAACCATCCCCACTTAGCTTGGAGCAGATTGGCTGAAACCAGTGTTATAGAAGGAATGCGAACCTAAAACTTCCAAGTTGTTACTCCCTTGCCTCAATCACCAGACCAATCCCTTGGGGACATGTGAAAACAAGGTTTATGTATTCACCATGAGGTGAAAATGAATATAAGTTAACTCAATTAGAGTAGTAGTTATTTAACTTCCAGCTCATTCTCTCTCTAAACCCGACAAATAGACAATGCTGGAGCGGATTCTTAAGTGGAAAACATTCTGATTTGCCTTCCAATATATTGTGTTGACACTGCCTGACTTTCTATACCCTATTGCTTGTATGCCTGATTTGAGTTATCAGTAGATTGCTTTTAATCTTTCTTTCTACCAAATGAGATTGTACTTGGTAGGAAGGCCGAAGTTTGATCTATCTTTTGTAGCAAATATACAGTGTGTGTGAACCTATGCCCTAGATGGTATTAGTTAGATGCAAATGTAGTGATGGATTAGAATGCTCAGTGCATGCATGACACTTCCCCTTTCTTCTTCTTTGCATCCCATAGCCATGGTATATTCCTAAATGAACTGAAACATGAAATGAAGTTATTAGATGCCTTTTTACATCCATTTGAGAAATTGTTGAAGCAATGTTCTCAAAAGGATCTGAAAGTGTTTCCCTTCTGAAGGAGACAAGAAAACAGCAAATACATGCATTGAACCAGTCTTGTAAAATATTCTCCATTTTCCATCTTTAAAGAAATCATGCTCCCTCGACTCCGAGTGCATTTACGTGGCTTTTCTTCATCAGTTGATTTGTTGGTGCAATTAGATCTAAGACAGAAATATACATAATAGGGAAAAGAAAGAAAAATGAGATAGAATGTTAGACCTAGGTCGTTATTGCTTCTGTTGGATAGTATGAGTTTTAATTCTCGGCTGTAAAAGAGATGATATATTGATGAGTTTATCAGCTGTAGTTAGGATGTTATTTTCCTAGCTACATGACTTTTTGACTAAGCTCCGTTAGGAATTTATCGGAGCATTTGTCTGTTCAAAATGTCCTATTACTTTTCTGGTTAGAACTGAAGTTAACTTACTCTTTACTTTTCTAATTTTGATTGATACTAGCTGATTGAGTAGTGACAACAGTTGGCTTCTATGTCTCAGCCTTTTGTCAATGAACTTCCTTTCTTGAGAGTATGAAATTGAACCACTGGCATCAGATTGTGGTACTGCTTGCAACAGTATGCTAATTTATAGGGTGAAATATATGGTAATCTCATGGATATGAAATGTTTGTCCTTTTTATTCTCTTTGTTCCAATGTGTGCTAGTTTGTGAACTCCAAGCTTTCTTCTCTTGGAACTGTTCATGCTATTCTCTATCACTGTGTGTGTGTGTGTGTTTTGGGGTGGGGTAGGGAGGTGTTACAGGCTGTCCTGCCCCTATTGTATCCTCCTTTTCTCCATTGAATTATACATGAACATACTAGTTTTTCCCTCTTTACTTTTGCACAACTGATCGTTGTTGATGATGAGGGATATCGCAAATTTTGAACTCTTGCAGATTCCATGTTGTGGCGTATTGCCAGCAGGTATGGTGGTTTGAATTGAGTGGCACAGTGAATTTTCCTTTTCCTCCAGGTATATACACTGTAACATTCAGAGTTCACCTTGGGAAAATATTTAAAAGACTCGGCCGGCGTGCTTGCAACTTTGAGCATACTCATGGATGGGATTTGGGGCCAGTACGATATGAACTATCTACTTCTGATGGGCAACACGCAGTTAATGAGTGCTTCATAGATGACACTGGGCAAGACGACCCAAATGGGAATATCAGGCGTGGGAGCTGGATTGAGTACAAGGTGGGTGAATTTATTGTCAGTACATCAGATCCTGTGACGGAAGTTAAATTTTCAATGAAACAGATCGACTGCACACATTCTAAAGGCGGGCTCTGTGTTGATTCTGTATCAATTACCCCTAGTGATCTGAAAGTCCATCCTAGAAAAGGGGTTTAAAGTATCTGTAAGTGACATGATTTCTTGCCAATGCTCTCAGAAAATTTTCTATGGGTTCCATTAAACCGCCTAAAAACAATACATTTGAGAGGGTAGTCATTGTAAAATTATTTTTCGCCTTAAGTATGCCCTCTCTCTCCATGTAAATGATACTGTTTTGTTCTTGATCCAGTTTTGTTGCATAGAATACCTACTGCAGAAGATCAAGAAAAGATAGGTTGCTCATTTTTCATTGGAGAAAAGGTCCAACTATTCTAGTTTTTTCTTGTACAGAAAAATATGGCTCAATTCTTCCAGAGCAGAGCCTGGAATTCAATTTTTTGGGTTCTAGATTGAGAAAAAAATTAACTGGGTTCGGCTGAACTCGTATCGAGGCTTCTATCTCTGCCCCTGAATTCTTCCACTTTTATAGCATGTTTTACAATTCAACTATGTTGTTTGGAGTTTGGACTGTCCAAAAGTGTTGTCACATCCTTGTCTGATCCTCAAAATATACAGCTTTTTCGAGGATCCACCACACATTCAACAGTACTTTTTAAGAGTTCGAGCAACATAGCATTTCAGTGCTTTAAGATCTCAACTTTGGTAGAATCCTGTCCTTGTTCTCTCTCCTATGCTTATGTTGTTTACTATAGTCTTTTTGTGTGTGTGGTCTTTGGTTATTATGACATCTTTTGATCATTAACAACCTTTTCTATGTGCTGTGGATGCTGTTCACTTACATTTTTTGAGTAAGTCAATGTGTTTTGAACTGCAAGAATATGCTGTCTTTGATTGATCCTGGTTCAACATTGTTTTTGTTTCAAATAACTGAATATTTTTGTCCGTAAATACTGCATATTTGATTCCATCCATGTCACATCAGATGGTGATATTTTTCTTCTATTTTTATCAATCTATTATTGGGAACATAACAGGCTGCTTGACAAGTGCTTTGTTCCCATTTAACATGTGAAGTGATCTTTGGTAATATCTTGTTCAATTACTATTATGTGAAGGTCTCCGTACATTGTACCCTTCTCTCAGATCACTCATGTGGAAACATTAGGATATGTTGTTGTATTGTAGTATATGATCATTTTTTACCCGACACTTTTTTCTTATTGACGGTCTTAAAATCTGACATCTTTCTATATTTAGTAACAACTTAATTTTAAAATATTTATTTTATTCTTTTATCCTTGAAGGGATGATTTATAACCACATAAATATTTATCACCTATTTTGGTTCATAATTTTATTTGTGTGTTCTGGTGGTCAAGTTAGGTGAGGCTTCCACATCATTTGAGTAAGGTGACTTGGTAGATTCAAATTGTGAGCTTTTTCCCAAAGTGTATCTATTTACGCAATCTTATCCCCCCCAAAAAAAAAAGGAACAAAAAAACCAAGAAATCTAATACCAAATTCTACAGATTATTAAGGCTACTGCGTATTTTTAAAGAAGATAACATATTTTAATTGTTTAACTTGTTTACATTATGCAATTAAAAATATGAACAATAGTAAGGAGGCTAATGCGTATTTTTAAAAAAGATAACATATTTTTAGTGTTTAACTTATTTACATTATGCACTTAAAATACAAACAATAGTTTTTTTAAATTTGAACTGAAAGTGTCTAGAGGAACACTTTATCCGTACTCAATTATAATAAATTACAGTTTGTGTGCCTAAATGAAATTTAATGACAAGTACAAAAGGCTGTCATGTAAACCTCGCATTTTTATGGTCATTAGGCTTGATTTTTGATTAGGTCTAGTTCAGTTTTATGATATACACTTGTTATACCACATCCACATTTAAACTAGTAATTGCACAATTAAATGACAGGCATATGAACTCAATCATGTTGAGCATTATTGATACTTATGCATCTTCCTTAATCAATTAAATCATCATGAAAGTAACTCTCCAAGTATGCAGAAAAACAGAGGTTAAAGAGTCACCTCATCTTAATTATATTCTAGCTCAGTCAACCTCGTCTTAATTATATTCTAGCTCAGTAGGATTGCTGCATGGTAAATTACTGCAAGAGTTTGCGCACACATTCGAAGAAGCAGATTTCAAAAATATATTGTTTAGGAGTCAAAAAACTACATCTGTAATAGAGAATGAACCCACAAGAAGTCAACAGTATGTGGAGAATCAACAGCTGCATACCAAATGCAAAACCGTCAACGAGAAATTTGTCTGCAGATGTATGAGATACTTGTAAATGAAGGTCTTCGCTTACAGTCTCGTCAAACAAGGCACTCTATTTGCTAATAAGGAAACAACATAAACAACAACTTAACGTTTTCCTCCGCCACCACCAAGCTTAGGACCTTTAGATGCACCTCCTTTGGACATATTGCCCTTTCCTCCAGCTTTCTGGGACTTGGCCTGAACCTCTGCTTTCTTCGCCTTCTTTTCATCCTTTGTCTTCTTGATCCTTTCCTTAATTTCACTACACAAAATCCATACACACAAAGATCAGTTTATCCCCATTAACCCAGAAAAAAAAAACACTTCTTTCTTAAACTTCAATGACTAACACCATAATTTACTGTCCTCTCAACACCAAGATGATAATACCAATTGTGTAGTACACATAAGGCTCTAGGTGTTTTTAGTTCATGTTGGGCCCATATGGAACAGAAGGTGCTTGAAAGGTATCAGCACATCTGTAACGATAGACGCAATTAATTTCCCAGACTAGTAACTGTATTAACCACATGTGAAAACGTTAATACCTGACTAAGTCTGGTATACAAGATAAAAGATTATCAGATAAGACTATCCAAAAAGCCACTAACTATATGCAATTTGCTGGCGCACACACTGATAAATAAAATCAGGAATTAGTAGAAACTAACCGAAGAGCAGCCTCCCTGGCAGCATCTCGAACTTCTGGCCTTTCAGTTCTCTTCTTCTGGATAACCTCCAAGGTTGCACCCACAATAGACCTAGAGTAAGGCTTCTTGGTGGTACGTCGCCTCTTCTTAGCAGCTTCTTGTGCAATATCCTATTGTAAACAAACACAGGTCGCAATTAAATTACGTCATTATAAGCAAGTCCTAGAAAAGTTCAGCACCCCAATGCAAGTTTTAGGAGTAAAACTATATATGCTGAAGAAAGGGCATATTCCCTAGTTTAGTTTCAATTAGGGGGCAGAACACAGTTACTGTTGTTGAAAGTCCAGAAAACTCACCTTCTTGTGTTGCTTCCTATACATAGCTGTCCATGTAAGTTTGGACGGCTTCAACTTGTTGTGGAAGTAGTGTTTGCATTTTGAGTTGACGAATAGGAACACCTAAAAGTATCAAGAAATCAATAAAGTGATAGCAGAACTAGCACGATTTTTCCTCCAATTCCAAAGAAAACAAGCAAATTTATACTAGATTAAGAGAAGTGTAGCAAGTCATCTGTTAAAAGAATACCTGAGAATCTGAACGGATAAATCTGATGCCTCTCCCAGGGTAAATCTTGGCACCACTGAAACGGCAAAGTTCTGTCCTGAAATTGATGTAAGACAACAATGAATCATCACTTTGAATTTATGGCTGTGGAATTACCAGGGAAAAATCTAAACTACAGGAAATGAGCAAGCTCAAGAAAATCCCAGTCTGAAATAACACAAGATTTCATGTAAGATTAAGTTGAACATTGAATTGAGTTAACATCACTATTTTTATGTAGTGCCTAGTTGAAACATTGCAGATGACCAAGAAAATAACTGCCAACCGCTGTCCGCCAGCAAGCAGTTCACATCTAATGGTGGCTACAGTTTTAGTAGCCAGGTGTACTTAAAAAGAACTAATGCGGTTTGAAATCAACCAGTGCGACAACGCACATAACTATGGAGCAGTGAAAAGATGGATATCACCAATACCGCTTAATATGATTTTAATCTAGTTGCAAGGTCATACACTCTGCCTGGAGCACTTCCCTACCTATCCCTTCATCTCTCCCACAGAATTCCCCTTACTCTAAGCAAAGACCAGAACAGACCAGATATTCAAAAGAAAACTAACCCGCAAAAAAACATGGAAGATCACTCTAGAAATAAACTATGCTAGATGTGTGGTCTGACTTGAACATAGAATAAGAAGACCACATCAACTGTCTGTGCATGAATATTCTTTCAAATGAGAAAATAAATTGCAAGTAGAACTTGGGTTTCACAAGCAAACTCCAACCTCATCAATCGAACTATGAGTTGGAGTGTTCACTATGAAAATTAGGGTGTTCTTGAATCGTGAAAAACGATCATCCCAGCAAAATATTCTCCTAAAAGTCAAAATACAATTATCTCCAATCTTACTCTTGCTCAAATCATAATTTAGACATTGTTACAAATCCTATAATACTCAAAAGTGCACCATCACATAACTATCCTTATTCCTAAGATAATCCTTGTATGATTAAGAAATGTATGCTATTTTAATACAAACCACAGAAAACGATCCAAAAAAAATATTTTTTGAGCTCCATACTAGTGTTTTTGTCTGTGCTGGATTTGAACATGAGACCTCATGGTTCTCGGGTGCTATACTAGGCATACATAGTGAAACAACATTTATCTTATGGGAGCTCCGCCGTGAGCATCTCCGGAATTACACGTTCTCATCTACATTATGAATCTAAATATGGATTTTTGCAGGGTTTCAGCCATTGATTCTTCTCCCTGAGCTAAATCTATAAATTGTAGATACCATTTATGGATAATTACCAAATTTTCTCAACGAATACTACTGAAATAAATCATCGGATGCATAAAGGCAATCAAAAATACAGATGAATGACAAAGATAAACGGGAGAAATCTTACTTGAGAACCATGGTTGATGCTGTAGCGAGCCGCCCTCGTTCACAGTATCTCAATGAAATTCAAACCCTAATGAGCTACCATTTTATAAGAAACAGAGGTTACAGGGCCCAAAATATGTGAAGGGCTTCGTGGGCTTGTCTGTCTGGTTCAGTTATTGGGCCTCTCCATAAAACTTTAAGCCCATATAACAAAAAGCCACCATACATAAACCCAATTTTAAGTATTTCTGCTAAAGAATATGTCCTCTAAATTGCAGCATAAGTTTATATGTTGGTGTCATAATATCTCATAAGTCATGACGTAATGGCATTTGCTCTTGACATTGAAATAACAAACAACTTTTCCGTATCATAATTTTATATCATAATATCCACAAGTTATGCCATATGTCGTGGCTCAGGGCATAACATATTTCTAAAAAACAAAAAAAAGAACACACAAAACCAATTTTAAGTATTTCTACTAAAGAATATGTCCTCTTTTCATGTTTTTTTTTTTTGTTTCCCACCTAATATTCGGTATCAGCATTGAAGCTCGACTATTTTGAATTCGCACCGCATAGGGCCCCATTCGGGGGAAACGCTCCCTAGTAGGGATTTTTCCATATTCAGGGTTCAAATTCGAAACCTTTAATTAAGGGAGGAGCAACCCCATCCACTGCTCCAGTTACTTTCTTTTTTAATGCAAGTGCAAAATAAAATTATCCGCATCTACATTGGGTACAAGTACAACAATCGTTCGTGAAAACAACTACTAGCAAAGTTTGCATACAACAAACATCAAAATGTTTCATTCCATTTACCCTCATTGCTTAACAAATGATGCATATTTACGTTTTTTGTTAACAGATTGAATTAGAAAAAAAATTCTAAAACTATTTTTTTAAATTCCAAAAATGAGACGTGACATTCAGTTTTGGACCGTTATTATTATTTCCCTCTCAATTCTCTTCTATCATGGAAGCCATTAATTGAGTTGTAGTACTAGCTTAGGATTAATTTGCATATATATAATTCTTTCAATGCAATGGTTGACTTTAGATTTTTAGGTTAACAGACAATATGACCTCTCTTATTAATGTGTTGACAGATTTTATTTTTAAAAAATTACACAAATTCCATATTGTTAAGAGCTAATTACATCATATTTCTACTTTTTTTCAAATTACAAAAATCCATTAAAATTTAAGGATTTCGGATACATCACTTAACGTCCGATACATCGCGTCTCGATACATTACCTTTGTTGATACAAGACACACCTGTCCCAATCAAGGGCGGAGCCAGCCTTCTGTTAGGGGTTCATCTGAACCCCTTTGGCGGAAAATATTACTATTTATACATGGTTAAAATTATTTTTTATGTATATATAGTAGATGTTGAACCCCCTTCAATCAGTTTGTGTGTTTAGTTCTTCAATTTTTTGAACCCCTTATTAAAAATCCTAGCTCCACCACTGGTCCCAATACTTCACTCAATGTCTCGATACATTACTTTTGTTGATACAAGACACACAGGTCCCAATACATCGCGTAAGAGTGATGTATCCAAGAATAGGAGAGAGTAGAAATTTTTGTAACTTTTTCAAATGGTAGAAAATTTTAAAAAATATGGTAAAATAAGTTGTGTTTAGGTAATTTTTCCAATATTTTTTAAACTAGAAAATGGATACATTGCTAACATAGTAGCTTCATTATTAGAACCTATTTGAAAATTAAAATTTTATTTCAATTTTTAAATTCCTTTTTATGGCTTTTTGTTTAATTTGATTTCCTTTTTTTATTTTTGGAAATCTCTAGTAATTTTTTTTTTGTTTGCGAAAAGTGATTTTTTTTTTTTTTAGAAACAGCTCCAAAGCCCAACTGCTCTCTTTTCTTGTAGAAATGGAGACTATGAATGTTTGTGATTAGATTGTGTTGACTCGATCATCGATGGGATGAGCTAATTTTGGACTTTTTATTAAACTTGGCCAATCCTTTTCTCTTAGAGTTAGTTTTCGAGATTGAGTTAGATTTATCATTACAGATTGAATTAGTTCTTGTTTTCGAGAAAATAGTAGTAATAATTAAAGTCCATTTTGCTAAACATACATAATCACAAGAAGTTTATAGTCAATTTCAAAATTCAAATCTTAGCATTTTTACATTCTTCGTTGGATGGTGAAAGACTACTGACCATTATAAATGAATGGAGGAGAAATTAAGATGTGCTTTAATCAAAGTATTTTGGGTAACTTGGGTGAAAATAGGGTCGAAGGATATTTTCGAACCAATTCTAGTACGTTGAGGACATTTTTGAACCTTTTTCGTTTTGAATATGACAAACCAAATCAATAAGAAATAATGCCGGAATAATTTGTGCATGACTTATTGCAGAAAAACTACGTCAAGCACAACTTGTCTTCAAACCAAACGACCCTATAGTACTATTTCTTAGAGAGATATTTGTGTCATTGGAGTCTATGACTACCACACATTTTTTTTTTCACAGTTTGAATTATTGTATACTATCAATTATTGACCTTCTTTTGGTGCCATAAACAACTAGCAAAAGAAGCCTTGGGAAGACTTTGGTGCTTAGGAACACGACGACTTTGTGAAGGAGCAAACACAACTATGGCTGATCCTGTAATTGGTGCTACTGTTCAGGTTGTGCTTGAGAAGCTGCTTTCTCTCACTATTGAGGAGGCAAAAACTTTAAGGAACTGCAAGAAAAATCTCAGAATGCTGACAAAATATGTAACCATGATCCAAGCTTACATTCATGATGTTGAAAGACGACAAGTCGAAGATCAGGCTGTGGAAGAATGGCTTAAGATGCTTGAGAGAATTGCTGAAGATGCTGAAAATGTGTTTGACAAATTCACATATGAATCTCTCAAAGCACAAGTGATGAACAACCGAACCAAACTAATGGAAAAGGTCAGTCACTTCTTTTCTCAGACTGCTTTTAAGTACAAAATGTCCCGAAAAATCAACAACATCAATGAAGAGTTGAGGGCTATCAATAAGTTAGCCAAAAACCTCGGTCTCCCATCATGGACAGTTCCTTCTCGGGAAATACTACAAATCCGAGAAACAGATTCCATAGTAGTTGCTTCAAATGTTGTTGGTAGAGACAAAGATGTTGCTGCAATCAAGAATAAGATGTTGAACATGAGAGAGGAACTTGTTCTGTGCGCCATTCCCATAGTGGGTATGGGGGGTATAGGGAAAACTACAGTGGCTAAGAGAATTTTCAATGATGAAGAGATCAAGCAAATCTTTGAAAAGAGAGTTTGGTTGTGTCTACCTGAAATGGTAGAAACTAAGAGCTTTCTTGAACTGATTCTCAAATCATTGACAAAGAGGAAAGTTGAGGTCCAAAGCAGAGATATAATAGTCAAGACGCTACAAGATGCATTGGGGAGAAAAAAAGTATTTGCTTGTCCTGGATGATTTGTGGCGTGTTGACTCTACATCGTGGCATGAGTTCATGGACACCTTGAGAGGAATCAATACATCCAGAGGAAACTGCATTCTTGTGACTACTCGTATGAAGCAGGTGGCATCCATAGTAGCAGAAGATCTTCATATGTTGAGAAGAATAGCTAGAGATCACTGCTGGTCCATTTTCAAGCAAAGAGCATTTGTTGATGGGGAAGTTCTGGAGGAAGTACTAACTGTGGAGAACAAGATTGTTGAAATGTGTCAAGGTCTACCGTTGGCAGCAAGTGTGTTGGGAGGCCTCTTATGCAACAAGGATAAACATGACTGGCAGGAAATTCTTGATGGCAACCCCCTTGTTGCAGGGGAAGATGATCTTCGGGAAAATAGCATAAAGAAGATCCTAAAACTAAGCTATGATTATCTACCATCTCCACATCTGAAGAAATGTTTTGGTTACTTTGCAATGTTTCCAAAAGATTTTATGTTTGAAAAGGACCAACTAATCCAACTCTGGATGGCAGAAGGGTTTCTTTGTCCAAGTCAAGAGATCCCTGTGATGGAAGATGTAGGGAACAAGTTTTTTCAACTTTTGTTGAAATATTCCTTGCTGCAAGATGTTGAGCTAGATGAGCACAACAATATAACGCACTGTAAGATGCATGATCTTGGGCATGATTTGGCTGGAGATACATTTAAAATCTAAACTATTTGATACGAAAAGTGTTGGAGGAGAAAATATTTCTCAAGTCCGATACTTTGGATGGGAATCACCAAGTGACCAAATAGAAAAGATATATGAGCCAGGACGTTTGTGCACATTGTTCTGGAAAAGCAATATATCTGATGATATGCTATTGAGCTTTCAGTTCTTGAGAGTTTTAAATTTGTCTGGATCAGGCATTCAGGAGTTGTCAGCCAAAATCAGCAAGCTAATATACTTGAGATATCTTGATCTCTCCAACACTGAGATCGAAGACCTTCCCAACTCCATTTGCAAGCTCTACAATTTGCAAACATTTAGAGTCAGTGGCTGTTCTTCACTGAGGAAGCTTCCAGAAGAAATGGCAACTATGATAAGTTTGAGACACATATATTGCAACTATCATTACCAATCAGAAATTCATGATCAGTTTCAGATGCCACTTAATATGGGGCAATTGACCAGTCTTCAGACGCTACAGTTTTTTTACATAGGTTTAGATAAAGGTCGTCGAATAGAAGAATTAGGTCGTTTGGAAAACCTTAGAGGTACATTGACGATTGACCGTCTCCAATTAGTCGGAAATAAAGAAGAGGCTCGAACAGCATGTCTACAGGAGAAACCCAATATCTACAAGCTGGCATATTTATGGTCCCATGATGAATCAGAAGGCCATGAGATCAATGATGAGCATGTGTTGGATGGTCTTCAACCGCATCCTAACTTGAAAACCTTATCAGTAGTGGACTATTTAGGGACTAAATTTCCTTCATGGTTCAGTGAAGAGTTGCTACCAAATTTGGTCAAGTTGAAACTAAGTGGTTGCAAAAGGTGCAAAGAAATTCCATCCCTTGGCCAACTGAAATTCCTTCGGCATCTTGAGCTGGTAGGATTCCATGAGTTGGAATGCATTGGACCTGCTTTATATGGTGTTGAGATTCGCGATATTGGATCAAGCAGCATTATCCAAGTGTTCCCGTCATTGAAAGAACTAGTATTGAAGGATATGCGTAGTCTTATTGAGTGGAAGGGAGATGAAGTTGGAGTAAGAATGTTTCCTAGGCTTGAGAAGTTGACGATTTCAAGGTGTCGACTGTTAAAAAGTACTCCAAGTCAATTTGAAATCCTGCGTGAATTAGCAATTCATAGTGTTGACAGTGAAAAGCCATTGTTGAACTTGTGCAGCAACTTGACATCTCTCGTAGAGCTTAGTGTCTATTTTGTGAAGGAGCTCACTTGTCTTCCCCATGAGATGCTCCACAACAACGTTTCTCTTCAACACCTATGTATCTCAGACTGCGGAGAGTTTCGTGAATTGCCACAAAGCTTGTACAATCTCCATTTTTTAAAGAGCTTAATGATTGACAGCTGCCCCAATTTCAGTTCTTTTCCTGTTCCCAGTGGAGAGGATTATTTGACTTCCCTCCAAAGTCTTCAGTTATGGAATTGTGATGAATTGACCAGTTTACCAAGTGGAATGCTAGAGCATTGTCTGTCTCTAGAATCTTTGATGGTCAAGCACTGTAACAACTTAGTTTCCTTGCCTTTACATGTGTGGGAAATGCCTTCACTTTCATATTTGGGTTTATTAGAATGTACCAAATTGACTAGCGTAGCCGCAGGAGGACTTCACCGTCTCACCGGGTTACGGAAATTACATATTGGTCCTTTCTCAGAGATGGTGGATTTTGAGGCATTCCAATTGATTTTTAATGGCATTCGGAAGCTGTTGTCCCTTCATACATTGGGGGTGTCGGGACACTTGCACTGGGATTCTCTGCCCTATCAGCTGATGCAACTCTCTTCCCTAATAGAGATCCATATATCTGATTTTGGAATCGAGGCTCTTCCTCATAGATTTGACAACCTTACTTCTCTTGAAACATTAACGCTAAAGAGGTGCAAACGGCTGCGATATGTGGACTTCTCAGATGCCATGCCCAAATTACAATATATGAGGATACAAGATTGTCCATTGTTAGAAGCTCTGTCGGATGGGCTCGACCATCTTGTTTCTTTGGAAGAGTTAAGTTTATCTAACTGCAAAAAACTAGAGCATCTTCCATCCAGAGATGTCATGCGACGCCTCACCAAATTATGGAACCTGCAAATTTATGCCTGCCCAAAGTTAGAAGAAAGTTGTAGCAATCTGAGTGGCCCAAACTCCCAGTGGTCCAACATTTCCCATATTCCAAATATTGAATTAGGCAGAAGGATAATTCAGGATAGACGTAAGTGTCTGTTTCTCTTTCACTTTATGAGTAGATTTTTTAAATGTTATTTTCCGCGAGTTCCAGAAATAAAGCTTTGTATGTAATTTAATATTTTTTCCTGCAATTATTTTGACATTAAAAAATGCAAAAATTATCAATCAATTGCATCTGTGCCTATGCTTTCTGCATTCTGCTTGTCCACTTTAATCGAACTGTTCTTCTTCTAATTCTTCAAGTATGGTATATCTTGATATGATTTAATCATGAAACTTATGTTTTATTTTCCCTCTAGGTTACTAGTTCCAAGGTCATGCTAGAACGTCAATGTGGTAAATCAAGCCAAATCCCATGAGCGGCAGGCAACTACGTTAGGTAAATTTTCATTAGAATTTATAGGCACTTTGTAATCTACCTGTTTTTATCTTTGTTTTTGTTGGGAACCAATTTTCAGAGGTCTATGCTGATGAATACAACATTACCTTCCTTAAAAGAAAGTTTAATCATGAAAATTTATGATTCTTCTCATAGGTTACTAGGTACAAGGTCATGGTAAATCGTCGTTGTGGTATATCAAGACAAAATCCATGGGCAGAATCATGTAAAGTATTTTGGAACCACCACTTTTATTTTGTATATATGAAGAACAAAATCTTCAGCTCTAGACTCATTATGGAACACTTTCATGAGTATTTGGATACTGAACAACCTTTTTGGGCAACTGAAGTCTACATATGAAACATAAAAAAATTCAAAGTGTATAGGGTGCTCAATGAGAAGCTACACAGGTCTATCCTCTGTCTTTGCATGGCCGTGTGTGCATCCTAATTGCATCAATCAACTATCCATGAAATCGTGTACCTGTTTGAATGTAAGCTGTTTGGAAGAGACTACATTAGTTTCAGTTAATTTGGTGTTTCTTTCCATATAATTCTTCTTTCCTTTTTCCTTTTGCCACAACTTCAGTCCATATAATCCAGTGTTTTGCATTGATGATACGGGTGGCAAATTTAATCCTTGAGAAGGACACAAATGATTTGACCAGTTTGATGCGTATCCATCCATTAGGCTGAAGGTTTCTCTACTTTGCTTATTGAACCAAGATTTCCATGTAAGGTATGCCTATGACACCGAAATAACAACTTTTCCACAGCATAAGTTTCTATGTTTGTATCATAATATCGCATAAGTTATGAAGTAAACGTAACACCTCGGATTTCGTGCCCATGAATATTCAGTATGTAGCATAGAAAACCAGATTGAAATTTAAGTTCCAGGTTCCCACGGAATGGTTCATGAGTTGTGAACCAGGCTTGTGGAACCACTAGCTCGTGGAATCCATCCTAGTCCTCTAGGTTTGTCACACCCCGAGCTTAGACCTTGGGCGGAACCGGCACTCGGTATCATTATAGGCCCGAGGGCGTACCCATAACATGACATTAGATATGAGCATACATCTAGACATGAGCGGAAACATTAGTATAAACACATTTGAAGAGACAAGTCTTGTAAAAGAAACACTTGGCATAAATGTAAATCATAGTACTAAAATCACTGACAAAGGACACGAAGGTCCAAAATGAAGCATAACTAACTGTCTATATATCTATGAAACATCTAGATATAACTGAGTAATGTCAAATGGGAGGTGCCCATTGAATTCTGTTCATGAGTTGCAGCTCAAATAAATTCTCACTGATTGTTTTTATGGATTCAACTAGGAGGTTGCTGTTGTACAAAAACAAATTGCATGTGCCACCTCACTCTCGTGCTAGCCAAGTATTAAACTTGGGTCGAAGTATGCTCAAGAACTATTGTAGCAGTATCCGCTGCGAAGGACCTAGGACTTGAATGGATTGACCAGTTGGAGGGACATCTGTCCATTAGGTTGAAGGATTCTCTATTCTGCTTATTGAACCAACCTTTCCATGTAAGCTTCTTCTAAAATTGTTAGTCTCCTACATTCCTTGTTTTTTTCCTTATTGTTTTTATTGCTCACTTACTTCTATAAAGTTAGTCTGATGCAATATATCTCAAATTATTCAAATGTTTTGTTTGTTTTGCACGAGTATCCTTCAATAAAGAGTTTATCACTTAATCCCCGAATGTAGTATTCTTCATTACAAAGTATAATGGAAGTTATTAAGTGGTATGGTTCTTGAATAAGATAACTGATCATTCTCTTCAAGTACAGAGAAGTAATAGCTTGTCATAACAGGTCTATTACAGTTTTATCTTGCGTAAGAGGAGGTGGACCATTACACGGAAAGCCACTAACGTAGGCTTTGATGCAAGACAGAGTTCCTTTTGAACCGAAATGTGACTTCTACTGATAGTAGAAGCTTCTCCAGTTTTTGTTGGCCGTCTTCAACAGTATTTCCTGTTTAATTTTCAAGGGTCAGATTGGAACATTTCGCTTCAGTGATGACTGTGGTTGCACGAAGCTTGAAAGTTCAAGGTAAGTTAGTTTTTGTCCATAAAAGATAGCAAATGGTGTCAATACTTTTTTCTCTGGAATGGTTTTCTTTTTCCTCTAAATGCTGTTTTTAAATCATCTCACTTATCTATATCTCGTTTACTTTTCTTAGTATATTGAAAACTCTCAAGGAACTATTTCCATGTCCATATATGGTAGAAATGTGTAAAACTTTCTTAATAGGCTCATAAAAGAATAACTTTTCTGCAACGCTGGTTTTATTTTCATGCTTTAGACAGTAGAACTTTTATGAATATATGACACACTTGTCATTGCTTTCACTTCACAGGACAATTTCTCCGTTCATTAAACTTTCGTCATTGAAGGACTTCAACAGAGATAGTTGTCATGAATCATTTAGCAAAGAATGCCCCATTGGCTCTTAAAATGTCCTTAGCAACATCTGTTCATCTTAACAGGTCTTGCTTTCTCCTTTTTTTAGTGGTCACTTGTAATGATCTGCTTCTCCATTTTCCCAAGGAGGAAACGTGTGCCAAAACAGACTTTTTAACATTTCCTGGATGATTTCAGATTCATGTTTGAAACACCAGCATGGACCTCGTCGAAATGCTACTTATGTAATTTAGACTCTCAGGAAGTTTGCTTCAAAATAGTTATTACTATATAAACATTACCCTTTTGTTTTACTTATTTACTATTTCTTAATATTTAAGTATTTTAGACGAAGAAAAGTTCATATAACTTGTAATAATGTCAGTTGAAGTTTGTATTAATTTAATTTTTATTATTTATTTAATAGCTAATTTTATGAGATAAATATTTTCATTATTGCAAATATTTATTTATATTTGGGTAAGTATTTGTATTTAAATGAAAGTATTATTTATGCCACAAATGTATTATCAGGTTAGCGAGATCTTCTAACTTCAAAATGTATTATTTTAAAATGTTTCGAGTTTTTTTTTTTTTAAAAAAACTCACAACAGATGTGAAAATATGTGAATATATAAAATATAGTTGATCTCTTCACAAGTTCAAATGACATCTAAAGAATTTAACGTAGAATACACATGCAAAGCACATCTGGTTAGATGACAACAAAAATACAAAACAAATATCGTCTATAAGGTAATATTAGTGAGATAAGACTAATTACATAATTGAACCTCATCAAATTGAAATAAATCTATGCATAATTGCATTTAACTAATAAAAGTTTTCATTGATCATCTTCATAAATTTGCGTGAAGAAAAGATATATATGACGATCCACATTGAACATTCACAAAAGAATCTGCAATATTATTTTTTACTAAGCTTATTATTCAAATCTTAATTTGCTTAAATACGCAATACTATTTACTATAACACATATTTTTGAAATTGGTAATCACGTGCAATGCATGTGTCAGAAAACTAGTATATATATAACATGAGGAAGCAATAGTTATTCATAGCATGAAAAAATGTATCAAATAAGATAATTAATACACTGTAAGATGCATGATCTTGTGCATGATTTGGCTGGAGATATTTTAAAGTCTAAACTATTTGATCAAAAGAGTGTAGGAGGAGAAAATCTTTCTCAAGTCCGATACTTTGGATGGGACTCACCAAGTGATAAAATAGATAAGATAAACGAGCATGGACGTTTGTGCACATTTTTCTGTAAAAGAAATATATCTGAAGATATGCTGTTGAGCTTTCAGTTCTTGAGAGTTATAAATTTGTCCAGGTCAGGCATTGAGGTGTTGTCAGCCAAAATCGGCAAGCTAATATACTTGAGATATCTTGATCTCTCCAGTACTGAGATCAAAGACTTGCCCAACTCCGTTTGCAAGCTCTACAATTTGCAAACATTTAGAGTCAATGGCTGTTCTTCACTGAGGAAGCTTCCGGAAGAAATGGCAAATATGAAAAGTTTGAGACACATATATTACCAATCAGAAATTGATTATCAGTTTCAGATGCCACTTAATATGGGGAAATTGATCAGTCTTCAGACGCTACAATTTTTCTACGTAGGTGTAGAGAAAGGTCGTCAAATAGAAGAATTAGGTCGTTTGAAAAACCTTAGAGGTGAATTAACAATCAAATGTCTACAATTAGTCGGCAATAAAGAAGAGGCTCAAACAGCATATTTACAGGAGAAACCAAATATCTACAAGCTGGTGTATTTATGGTCCCATGATGAATCAGAAGGCTGTGAGATCAATGATGAGCATGTGTTGTATGGTCTTCAACCACATCCTAACTTGAAAACCTTAGTAGTGGAGAACTATTGGGGGACTATATTTCCTTCATGGTTCAGTGAAGAATTGCTGCCAAATTTGGTCATGTTGAAATTAAGTGGTTGCAAGAGGTGCAAAGATATTCCATCGCTTGGTCAACTGAAGTTCCTTAGGCATCTTGAGATGATTGGATTCATTGAATTGGAATGCATTGGACCTACATTTTATGGTGTTGATAATGGATCAAGCAGCAATAATGGCAATATCCAAGTGTTCCCGTCATTGAAAGAACTAGTATTGAAGGATATGCATAGGCTTATAGAGTGGAAGGGAGATGAAGTTGGAGTAAGACTGTTTCCTGGGCTTGAGAGGTTGACGATTACAGAGTGTCCACTGTTAAAAAGTGCTCCAACTCAATTGGAAACCCTGCATGAATTAGAAATTGAAAGAGTTGACAGTGAAATGCCATTGTTGAACTTGTGCAGCAACTTAACATGTCTTGTGGATCTTTCTGTCAGTGACGTGAAAGAGCTCACTTGTCTACCTGATGAGATGCTACGCAACAATGCTTCTCTTCAACGCCTATGTATCTCAGCCTGCAGAGAGTTTCATGAATTACCACAGAGCTTGTACAATCTCCATTCCCTTAAGAGCTTAGGAATAGCCTTGTGCCCCAATTTCAGTTCTTTTCCGGTTCCCAGTGGAGAGAATTATTTATCTTCCCTCCAAAGGCTTCAGTTACTTTATTGTGATGGATTGACCAGTTTACCAAATGGAATGCTAGAACAATGTCGGTCTCTAAAGATTTTGAGGGTCAGCAACTGTAAGAACTTGGTTTCCTTCCCTTTACATGTATGGGAAATGCCTTCACTTTCCATTTTGGATATGTCAGATTGTCCCAAATTGATTAGTCTACCCACAGGAGGCCTTCACCGTCTCACTGGGTTACGGCATTTGAAAATTGGTCCTTTCTCAGAGATGGTGGATTTTGAGGCATTCCAATTGTTTTTTAATGGCATTCAGCAGCTGTTGTTCCTTCGTACATTGAGGGTGTACGGACATGGGCACTGGGATTCTCTGCCCTATCAGCTTATGCAACTCTCTTCTCTAATTGAGCTCGAATTAAGTGATTTCAGTATCGAGGATCTTCCTCATAGTCTTTGCAATCTTACTTCTCTTGAAACATTACATCTAGAGGGGTGCAAACGGCTACAACATGTGGACTTCAGAGGTGCCATGCCCAAATTACATTATCTTGAGATCTATTGTTGTCCATTGTTAGAATCTCTGTCGGATGGACTCAGCAACCTTGTTTGTTTGGAAACGTTAATTTTTTGGAACTGCGAAATACTAGAGCGTCTGCCATCCAGAGATGTCATGCAAAGCCTCACGAAATTACAGTACCTGGAAATTAAAGACTGCCCACAGTTAGAAGAAAGTTGCACCAATTGGAGTAGCCCAAACTCCCAGTGGTCCAACATTTCCCATATTCCAAAAATTAAAGTAGGCTGGAGGATAATCCAGGATAGACGTAAGTCTCTGTTTCTCTTTCACTTTCTGAGTCCATTTTTTAAATATTATTTTCTACGAGTTCCAGAAAAAAAGCTTTGTATGTGATTTTTTTTTTCCTGCAACATTTTGACGTTAAAAAATGCAAAATTAACAATCAAGTGCATCTGTGCTATGCTTTCAACATTCTGCGTGTCCACTTGAACCGAATTGTTCTTCTTCTAATTCTTCAAGTATGGTATATCTTGCTATGCTTTAATCATGTAATTTATGTTTTTTTTTCCTTATAGGTTACTAGTTTCAAGGTCATGCACTCATGCTAGAACGTCGCTGTGGCAAATCAAGCTAAATCCCATGAGCGGCAGGCAATTACGTTAGGTAAATTTTCATTTAGAATTTATAGGCACTTTGTAATCTACTTATTTTTTGGGAACCAATTTTCGGAGGTCTATGCTGATGAATACAATATTACCTTTCCTAAAAGAAAAGTTTAATCATGAAAAAATTATGTTTCTTCTCATAGGTTACTAGGTGAATAAGTAATTTATTATTTACTTATTGGTGAAACGCTAGAGGTAACAGAACCATTTCTTTCAGAAATCCACTTACATAAGCTTTGATGCAAGACATATTTCCTTTTGGTCCGAAATGTGACTTGTACTGATGGTAGAAGCTTCTTCATTTTTTGTTGACCGTCTTCAACAGTATTTCCTTTTAATTTTCAGGGGACAGATAGGAACATTTCGCTTCAGTGACTGTGGTTGCATGAAGCTTGAAAGTTCAAGGTAAGTGAATTTTTTGTCCATAAAGATAGCAAATGGTGTCAATACTTTTTTCTCTGGAATGGATTTTCTTTTTCCTCTAAATGTTGTTTTTAAATCATCTCACTTATCTAAAATCTCGTTTACTTTTCTTAGTATATTGAAAACTCTCAAGGAACTATTTCCATGTCCACATATGGTAGAAATCTATATAAGTTTGTTAATAGGCTCATAAAAGAATAATCTTTTCTGCAACGCTGGTTTTATTTTCATGCTTTAGACAGTAGAACTTTTATGAATATATGACACACTTCTCATTACTTTCACTTCACAGGCCAATTTCTCCGTTCATTAAAGCTTCCGTGAATGAAGGACTTCAACAAAGATAGTTGTCATGAATCTTATAGCAAAGAGTGTCCCATTAGCAGTATCTGTTCATCTTAAACAGGTTTGGCTTTCTCTTTTTTTTAGTGGTTACTTGTAATGATCGATCTGCTTCTCTATTCTTCCAAGGAGGAAACATGTGCCAAAACTGACTTTTTACCATTTCCCGTGTTCCAGATTCATGTTTGAAATACCATCATGGACCTCGTCGAAATGCTACTTGTGTTAGATGTGTTTCAATGTCATAATTGGCAAGGGAAATTGCATTCCGTAAACTCGTTTGCATTTGGCTGAATTGGATTGGAGATATCATTTCCTTGAATGTACGAAATCCCAGAAAAGTGAAATTAGTTGAGCTTGATGTTGGTCCAATTCTAAACTAAATTAACTGGCACTGTCGAAAGAGCAACTTATGTCTTGTGATTTTTATTTTACTGGTATGTGAGACGTGCATTACACGTTTATCCCAAAATACTTTATACAAATTTTGTATTGTAAATAATAAATTTAAATGACACATATATTATTGAATTTTCTATGTGTCATAAAATAAAAATCAAAGCATACAAAATAAAAGTAACCACTCATAAATTGAGGTTAGAAAATCTTGCAAATTTGATGCTACATAGCACATATATAGTATTTTAATTTAAAGATAAATACATATTATAATAGTAAAAGTATTTAAATCGTGAAATTAACTATTATGCATGAAAAATAAAAACTAAATCGATACATATATATTGAATTGCATCTTCTTCTTTTTTTACCATAATTTCAATATTAACGCTTTCCCTCTTCTTCTTTTTTTTCTTTTGAAATGATTTTTTTAGGAAGCCTAGGATCATCCATTAACTGTTGTCTCCGATGATGACAGGAGTCTTCTGAACAAAATTGTTGAGTTCAATTTGATTAGTTTAATTTCCGTGTTTAATTAGTTGGATCATAACAAACCATCAGTTGATAGTAGAGTGGTGGACACCCAGAGAAGACCAATTTTGATTGGCACTGGGTTTGTATGCTAAGGCTTCCCCTCCAGCCCTAAAATAATGAAACCACCAAGAACCATATGAGTCACTACACCTATTAGTATAAATATATACATGTCCGCTTCTTTTTTCCTTCCACATATTCCTCATTTGCATCTTAATTTTTTTAGTTATTATTGAAGATTTTTGTTTGTGCTTATGAGTTTCATGTTATATTTTTCTTTTTGGAAAAGGGCCTAAAATACCCTTGAACTATTGAAAATGGTACAAAATTACCCTCCATCAACCTATTGGCTTCCAAATTATTTTCTTTTCCTGGTTAAGTTTGATACTAAAATTAAAATTCATAAAATAAATTCATTTTTTCATTAAGTTGTATTAATTTAATAGGATAGTGACTTAAAATTTTATTTTTTAGAGGTCAAGAAATTGAGTTATTTTTTATTGAACCACTTTCATTTACTATCTTGAATATTTTAGTAGCTTTAAAGAAATTATTTTAATAAGTAACGTTCTATCACTCTTATAACATGTAAAAATTAAAATTGAATTTAAACCCACATAAAATCACATATACCCGCTGTAGACACCCAATTTTGACCCTCCCCGATAATAATTATTTCACGAGCTTCTTAATTCCCCAAACGATTTAGAATAATTAGTTTATAAAATTCAAATAATTTTCAAGTCATTTTAAGTAGTTTTGTCATTTTTATAATTTTAAATAATAAATATGATATTTTATATTATTATGTGTCTAATTAGTATATTTTATGAATGTTCGAAAATTGTCTCTAAAGGATTTTAGTTTCATTTAAATATTTGGTTATTTAGTTTAAATTAATTAATAGCTTATATTTTGAGTTAATTAGTTTATAATTCAGTTAATTATTATATAATTATGTGTCTAATTAGTATATTTTATGAATGTTCGAAAATAGTCGACAAAAAGTATTTTTGTTTAAATAAAATATTTGGTTAATTAGTTTAGTTACATAATATTTTATATTTTAAATTATTTGGTTTATAATTAAGTCAATTATTTTATTTTGCTGAAATTAAGAAGCTTATTGATTAATCTATATTAATTCATCTTGCTTAATTACTAGTCGAACTTATCCTAGTCAACTAAGTTTGACTACATTTGGCTTTAATTTAAATTCATGTAGCCAAAGTTTAAATCCAATTCTAGCTTTATCAATTTTTAAAGGACCAAATTTTGGTCCTTTTCTCAAATTTGACCAAAATCATGGCCCAACAGCCCATATCCAAACAATACGTACATCAAACAACCAAACCGACCCCACCCTTTTTTCTTTTTTCCAGCAATTCCCAACTACCTAGGCCCACCATTTTAATTCCTCCAACAATACTAAAATAATAACAACATACACCAAACCGGCCCCCATCTGCATCGTTCTTCTTCTTCGCAGAAACGAACAACAGCCCAAAAACGAACAGCAGCCCAGAACGAGCAGCAGCCCACCGCGACAGCCAGCGAATCAAATCGACCCGGAACCGGCAGTCCAAAGGCGTTAACACATCTCCCTCACATCCCTCTCCGTGGTACGATTTGAGCAGAGAAAAGCAGCACGCGCTCCGTCCTCCTTTCCCCTTTCGGAATGAGTCAAGACTTCAAGGGAAAGGGTGTTTGTCCGAAATGGTGAAAGTTTGGAGTTTGAATTTCGAATTTGGGGCCCTTGTTTCTACCCGGTTTTGGTCCTTTTCCCCCCATTTCCGAACCCGATTTTTCCTTCTATATAGGTTGTTTTGTTGTTCACGAAAGAGGGGATATTTTTTGGAGTTGAAAATTTTTGTGTCAAGGAAATATTGAAAAAAGTTTAGAAGAAAAACAGAGAAAAAAGGCTAGACGAAAATGGGGAAAATTGAAAGAAAAAATTGAAAAGGTTTGGGAAAAATGGTCAAAAGATATATAGAAAGGGGAATAGAAATATAGTTTACACCATAGTTTATTTCGAGTATAGCAAATAGGCACGAAGGAGTTTCTAGCTTGTTCATCGTTAGCCGGAGCTTGTCGTAGTTCCGTCATTGGTAGAAGTCGTTGCTCCTCCGCTTGTTGGTTCTAGTCGCTGCCCGCCAAAAGTCTCTTGGACTCTTACTTCTCGTAGTTGCATTTCAAGTTGGGCCATGAAGGCCCAAAATCCTTTCTTTTCAAGTCCATCTTTATCAGATTGATATGCCAGACACCGGCGAACAGGTCATTTTGGAAGCTGAACATGTCCTCGAAAGTCAACGCATTGGGACCATAGCTGATACATAATGATATACAGCAATATACACCAAGTGTATATGCTGTATATATGGCAGAATGGGGCCCAAAAGCCCATCTCTTTATCTTAATTTGTATTTTGTTATTTTGGGCCTAAGCCTTTATCATTCCGATTATTATTATTCTGTTAGTTCTCAGGACAGGTAAAAGAATTGGGCCTAAGGCCCAAAGATAAAATATATTTCTTTATATTAGACTAGGACAGGTGCGGGTGACTCAAGTAGGCCAAAGGGCCCAAAACGAAAATAGGCCCAAGTATTGGTCCAGGCGGACAGAAAAACCAAACTTGGGCCCAGACCTCTTTCCCTCTTTGTTTTATTATGTTTACTTATTTATTAGTATTTGTCGTTAATCTTAGGGTCGAAAAGTTCAAATCCCCGAGAGACGCTCATTTCGTTTTAACAATGTAACTAAACTGGTCATCTCTTAACAAGACTTAAACAAACAATTTTGTAAGATAGTCCACTTAGATAATATTTAAATATTTCCCTTTTTTCCCCTTTAAAATAGTTCTAATTACAAAACAAATCAATTTTGCAATTTAAGTTAAAGTTAAATCTTTTCAGCCGAGTAAATTAATTGTCGGATAACCGCATTAGCGGATATTCTAGGTGCCTTAAAAACCTTCCTAGAATATTAATAAGAACCCCCGAACCCCCTTAAGTATTTTCAATTGATGCCCTGTTTTAATCTATTGAAAAACAATTTTCTTGATTTTTCTTAAAAATTAAGTGGCGACTCTTAAACCAGTCAAATAATATTTTCCTAATGAAACAGAATGGCGACTTCCACTGGGAATTTGAATGGTTCTAACCTTAAGATTCATTTATTTGTCTATGTGATTTAACTGTCTACTTGTTTTATTTATCGTATATATTGAACTGTTGCATTCATGGCATGACATATTTCGTCAAATGATAATTATTTTAATTTCCATCTAAAGGACGATTATGCGGGCCGTAGTCGTTCGTTAACCAAATTATTCTCGGGGCACCCTGACGAATGTAGTTGGCTACTGGATAGTCAACGGTCGTTAACTGTCCCAGCCCAAGTTGTCCGTTTGGGTCACCTATCCATTATAAACGAAGCCCACTCTTAGTCAAGACTAGCGTAGAGCCAAACTCAGCTAGCGCATCAAACTAAGATGACCCAACACCCAAGGTGTGTTAGGCCCATTAGAGAGACCACCTTGAGTTCAAAACGGCCCACGGCCTAAATGAACGATCATATTTATGTGTTTAAATTTGAAAGATGTATACGTTGTTTGACAAACCATTGTCTCTTAGGGTAGAGAGCTTAATAATTTGTTCGAGTCGAAGAAGGATCAAATTACTAGTCCATCCAAAGGCATTGACACTCGGAGATGACAAGAAATCAATAAAGAAGAGGGACCTCACATGGAAGAATAGTTTAGGATTGTACCCCTCTGTGGGATTAATTATTTGTATCCCTTTTCCCTATTATGTATCCTCATTTAGTTTATTTATAAAACTTGTATAATTTTGGGTTTTAGGGGGCAATGGAATGTTTCAAATGACATATACATCCTTCAAATCGTTAGGCCTACCCTTGGCATAAAAGGGTCACATATCTGTTTAAAAATGCATAATATTTGTTTGTGTGCTATGTGATTAACTGTTTGTGTGAATATGTTGCTTCATTTGGAGATATTCTAGCTTACTCTTCTTCGAATTATTTTTAGAACCCCTAAGCACAAATATCAAGTCACTATCAAAAGTGCGTCCAAATACTCTTCGAGTTTTTAGTTTCCTAACAAAATTTGAACTTCACTTTCAAATTCATACTCTTATATCTCAGAAAAGGTCGATTTACTCAAGTCAAAAAGAAAGGTCGAACTACGTAGGACCTGAATTCTCTTTTGTGAGATACGTAGGCAGCCTTTCAAGGTTCGGTCCCCATTTTTGAGAAATTCTATATTTCCAACTCTTACAAAGAAATTAGAGTTACATCTCAATCGAAAAGCAAAGTATGACAATGAAATATACAATAGATTTTGTCTCGACTCAAGTCGACATTCAGGTCCATTAAGCTCAAAAATCAAATAGTCAAATTTTCGTCTATTTAGTCATTTATTTATGTGGGCTAGTTTATCTTCAAATGAAACAACTTTTATGTGTTTACAATAATGTGTGTGATATTTTGTATTATTTATCATCGACACAGACTAACACATTTGCCTTTGAGTTGTTTTTCTTTGTCAGGTACTTAAAACTGATCTGTGTTGAGAAAAATGGCTGGACATCCGTACTTCACAAGGTCCAAAGACCCCAAAGATTTCTTCTACGACCAATGTTTGTCAAAAGGCAAAGAAAAAGTAGTTGAAAATGTTGAGAATACAAATTTGACCGAAATTACTGTGAATGACCTCATCATTGTCGAACATAACAAGTTGATTGCACAATTGTTCCAACAGATTGCTGAAATGAGGGCGGAAATGGATAAGACACGAAATTTGACGAATCTAGCTATTAGTGCCGACACTCCTACTCTAGACAACGGAAGACCTCCACTCCATTTTCCTACTTCGGATCCAACACTCAAGGATTTTTCAAACAATTCATCCCCCTCTACCATTCCAAAACCTCCCATCATCGACTTAACCACCCCTAACCCACATCATGCTAGCTCTTCACACCAAAAATTACCCTACTCCTCCAAATCCAAATACCAACACTTTCCAGAATTTTCCTCATGTCCATCAAACCCTTACTCAAATTGTCGAAAACCCACCTACAACTCAACCCATACCCTTAAAAACCGCATTTCATCTTCCAATATCGCCAGAATCATACCATCCATTTACTACACATGTTGAACTCGAGCATTATGAGAAGAATGAAAAGGAATGGAAGGTCATAAAGGGAAAGACTGAGCAAAGCATCAGAGAGGAAGTTATGGATGCAATGAAGAACTTTCAATACACACCAGACATTGCGGGGCTGAATTATGAAGATTTGTGTCGTCATCCACATTTGGAGCTTCCAGAAGGTTTTAAAGTACCAAAATTTGACACTTATAGTGGAGTTGAAAATCCTTTTACTCATTTGAGGTCTTATTGTGATCAACTTATTGGAGTAGGGAGAGATGAAGCTTTGCTAATGCGACTCTTTAGTCGTAGCCTGAAAGGAGAAGCCTTGGAATGGTTTATTTCTAAAGAAATCAAGCAGTGGCCAAGTTGGAACGCTTTGGCTACTGATAGTAGAGGTTCTTCAGTTTCCATTTACTGTGTCTTCAACAGTATTCCTTTTTCCTGGTTAATTTTCGGGGGACAGATTGAAACATTTTGCTTCAGTGGTGACTGTGGTTGCGCGAAGCTTGAAAGTTCAAGGTAAGTTAGTTATATGTTCATGCTGTAGACAGTAAAACTTTTATGAATATATGACACACTTGTCGTTACTTTCACTTCACAGGATAATTTCTCTGCTCATTAAAACTTCCGTGAATGAAGGACTTCAACAAAGATAGTTGTCACAAATCTTATAGCAAAGAGTTCTCCCATTAGCTCTTAAAATGTCCTAAGCAGTATCTGTTCATCTTAACAGGTTTTGCTTTCTCCTTTTTTTAGTGGTTACTTATAATGATCTGCTTCTCCATCCTCCCAATTAGGAAACGTGTGCCAAACTAACTTTTTACCATTTCCTGTGTTTCAGATTCATGTTTGAAACACTAGCATGTTACTTGTGTTGGATGTGTTTCAGTGTCATCATTGGCAAGGGAAATTGCACTCCGTAAGCTCATTTGCATTTGGCTGAATCTGGATTGGAGATATTACTTCCCTGTATGTGGAGATCCCGGAAAAGGGTCACGAGTGATTGTCAATTGAGCTTTTCGCGTATACTGAAATGAGAGTCCAATGGTCCAGTCGGAACACCCAGCCCACAGCTCCTGAAATTCTAAACTGAATTAACCTGGCAGTGTTGAATAGCATTCAAAGTAGAAAGAGCAACTTATGCCAGTTACTTTGCTACATTTCTCTACCATGGTTGTATGTTGTGTATAGAGCAACTTGTGTCTTGCAATTTTATTTTATTGTTTTGATGTCAGAAATACTTTCAGCAAGACAATATTACATGGTGTTAGGGTTACAACGTAACTTGTTATCCAAATCGACAAATAAATAATTTTATAATACTTATTAAGTTTGACTTCAAGTAAGAATATAACTAGTTTAATGAAATATTAACCAAATTGTTTCCCAATGATCACAATGAAGCACAAAAGATATGTGTGATTCAATCATTACGGCTCTTTAGGATGTTTTGATATCGTGTATATGAATCATGGTTTGCTCATTTG